TTTTTTTCTTTGTCCCCCCCCCTGCCGTGTCCACTCTCAACTGCAGGCATGAGCTAGGCTGTCACTGAACCCGAGAAGCTCCATCAGCACGCCGTTTCCAGAGCTTCCGCCTTGACAGCATCGCCTCAGCATCGCTTTCACAGCAGCCGGCTTGTTTTCAGAAACTGAGGAAAAGGTGGTGGGGGGGGAAGCGGCGGAAATCAAACTTTCCACTGGAGATGTGTAATTCCAGCCTGAACAATAGCGATGCAGCGACGACTGTGTAACGCAGCCGCGTCCCTTCTGCTGGTGCTGGGGGTGTCCGGGGGACTTTCGGCACAGGATGTCTCTCATCACGGCCAGGTTAGTTCTCTGTGGGAGAGGCAAAAAGAGGAATCACTGCACCAACGTGTAGCACCAAACGTAGTAAAAACCTCTACCAGCAGCAGGATAATTTCCAGGCTTGCTTAGGAGTCTGTGCTGCGCAGACCTTGTGAATAACCTGACACAGGCTCTTAATGCAAGAAGCGAAGGGTCGGCTTCTGTAGGATACGTGTGTTTGCTTCAAAACAAGAAAGCGCATCTTTTCCCCAGAACAGACCGTATTTTTTCTGCTCTTTCGGCCACAGGCTGCATTCAGGCTTTCTCAGAACACAACCGAGTTTACAAAGCCTTCCCTTGACTCTCCTATCAATTTCTATCTGGACGAGTAGTTTCCCGCTTCCTGAGCAGGCTTCTGGAGGCACTTTCTCCTATAAAAGCAGTTTTGGCTTTACACAAATGCTGGATTTTACACAAATCTTTACACAGTTCCTCAAAGTGAAAAGGTACAGGGCGATCTTAATGGTGACAGCTAAAAATCGTAGCCCAGCCTTCAGCCATGTCTGACAGAGCCACTGTCAGCGCAGAGATCTGGGTTCCGATATGAAAATAGCTCGAAATTTATTAAAAATTAAATAAGCCGAGGTGGCAGCATGGGTCCCCCTCAGACCCGCTTTCAGGCCCGCGCCCTCGAACAGCACAAGACCAACCGGCTTCAGAACGGTGCGGCTGGCAAAGCACAATCAATTTTCTCACATTTCTTGAGAAACTTGTGGTTTTTTTTTTTTTTTCCCCTTTTCCTATGAAAAGCCTTTCAAAGAAAGAAACGGGTGCCTTCTGTTGGGTTCTGGCCGGGCAGAGGCGGTGACTGAGCCCAGCGCCATGGCGGGGGCGGGGGGTGCGGCGGAAGGACACGTTCCCGCCAAGGGTTCTGTGAGGCAGGT